TCTGATGATGCATATTTCTGTATCGCCCAATATTTCCAGCCAATTTGACAGACTTGCAAATTGCACTGACAGTATCATTACACACATGCAGTCAAGTGTAGTGTGAGCATCCGGTACCACAGGGGTAAATCTACAAAAATGACTGTGATTGTCCCTAGTACACTGATACTCTGAGATTTCAATCCCACTGTACTGAAAGATCACTATATTCATATCTGAGATATTTTAGTTTTATTTATATACTATATAATAATATTAAAGGGGTCATATGATGCGATTTCAAGTTTTCCTTTCTCTTTGGAGTGTTACAAGTCGTGAATAGATAAGATCCCTAAAGTTGCAAAGACTAAAGTCTCAAACCCAAAGAGATATTTTTTATAAAAGTTCAGACTTGTCCACGCCCTCCTAAAATGCCTCGTTTAAACACACCCCCACATGTCTACGTCACTGTGTGGGAAGATTTGCATAACACCGCCCAAATGTTCACGCAAAGAAAGAAGGTGTAACTTTTACTCTCGCTGTAGTATTGTTGCCGCCGCCATGTCGTGGAGACACTGTGTGTTTCGTTGTGAAAGCGAAACTACTTTGTTTACAACACTGTTCCAGAACAGTTCAACCCAAATATTCAGATGTGTGCAGCGCATTTTACGAAGGACATGGGAAAGTAGCCTACAATGCCGTCTACACACAAAGACTGTTTCTATAAAGTGGGGCAGTTCCAACTTTGCAAGGACAGTCTGGCGCTTCTGACTCACAGCCTGTAAGTATGTTTTCATATTAAAAGAATTTGCCACTGATGATTCAAACGCGAGTTTTGAGCAGTGTAGAGTAGCGCTTGTTGTTTGTTGTTTCTCTGATCACAAATGCAAAGATGGTTCTATGTTTATGCGGTGCGATATGCAACGCAACGCGTAAAAAGACAGTATAAGTCATTATAATCAGTAACTATGTCCCCACTGGATGCAACAAATGCCTCATTTGTAATGGGTTTTATTGGTTTTGTCTCGTCGCGCCGGGACACAGGGCATCACAGTATGGTACGGGGCGTAACATTTCCATCACACACTTGAGGTATTCGGCCAATCACAATGCTCTGGATAGCTGGCCAATCAGAGCACACCTCGCTTTTCAGACCGATGAGCTTTGTAAAAATCGACGCGTTTCAGAAAGGCGGGGCATAGAGGAGAAATAATAATGTACAGTATGTGAAAAATAATGTGTTTTTTGAACCTTAAACCACATGAACACATTTCATTACACCAAATACACAAAATAATGTTCTTTTTAGCAGCATCATATGACCCCTTTAAATAGTTCTAGTTTTAGTTAACAATAATAACCTTGTTCTATAAAAGGCTGTTTTGCTTGCATGAATTAAAAGGGTCAACACTACTATTATAGGGCATGTATACAAGGCTAAAGGCGCATACTGTGAGAGGCGTGTGATGAATGAACAGAAAGATGGTTACAGGGAAAATTCCACTAGTCATCATTTACTCACCCTCATGTCATTCCGAACCCGTTTGACTTTCTATCTTGCGTGCAGACTCTTTTCTGTTGCCATACGGGTTAAGAATGATATAAGGGTCAGTAAATGATGACACAATTTCATTTTTGAGTGAACTATGCCTTGAAATAAAAAACAATAAGACTTCAAATTTGAGAGGAAAGCAGCATTAGTTCCTATAGGAGCGACGAATAGTGAAAGTAGGGGAGAGGACGGGTGTATTAGTTTTGACAGAAGCCCTAGCATACAGAAGATAGAGGAGAGGAAGAGAGAATTAGTTGAGACAGGAGCATTGGCAAACTTCTGATGATGAAAGAGACTTGAACCGCAGCGGCTGGCGCCCCAGCAGGAGTGAGAACCTCGGAATTAGGGTGTGAATCGAACCAGCTAGAGTTTCCAGAATTGGGGGCAGTGAAGCAAACAGCAGTCTGGGGTTTCACGAGATCCCTATCTCAATTTGGCCAAATTGGTGTAGCTCTGGATAGGTGAGTGTTTATACACCCTGATGATGCATTTCAGTGATTTGATAAACAAGAGCAGGTTCTGAATGGATTGTTTGGTGGGATTATGATCATGAGCCATTTAAACTGAGATGTGTTTCTTTCAACCACTCAAAACACACTGGAAATCACCTAGCAAGGCCTGGTAAAAACCCTAGCAAGCACATAGCAACATGCTAAAAACATGCAGAACATCTTAGCAAGCACATTGCAATGCTTTTCTGCACCACTCCAAATTCCTTCAGAAATAAAATCCAGGGAACAATTGTTAAACTCTCAGTGTTAAACATAACTTTAAAATAATAAATAAATGTAATAACAACTACAATAATACACATACAGTATATAAAATACTGTTCAAAAGTGCGCAATCAGTAAGATTTTCTTCAAGAAAGTATATTTTTATGCAGCAAGGACACATTATTGTGACGAGTGGGGGCTCCGTTCCCACGGCTCACGGAGCGAGGCCGGTGGAGTAATTGATAATGAGCGACACCTGCACCACTCACCGGTCTCGAGTCTCACGGAGGAGCTCCGGAAGGATAAAAGGGAGGAGTGACGACAGTGTCGGATGAGAGAGGACCAGGCCTGGAGTTTATTTTGTGTTTTGGGTTTGTTTGTGCGCGACAGTCGTTTATTTTGTGTTTTGTGTTAATTTTATTATTAAAATCGTACAAACTACGTTAAAATTATATTGATCAAAGATTTTTATAGACACTGTTACAAAAAAAATTATATTATTTCAAATAAATGCTGTTCTTTCTATTCAAGAATTCTGGGGGGGGACGAATGTATCACAGTTACCACAAAAATAGTAAGCAACTCAACTGTTTTAAATAATAATAATAATACATATTTTATTATTACCAATATTGATCAAAATAAAAAAAATGATAAAATCACATTTACGTTTTAAAACATTTTTTATATTATTTCACAATATCACTGTTTTTACTGTATGTTTTAAAAAAAAAATGAATGCAGCCTTGGTGAGCATAAGAGATTTTTGCAAAAAACATTTTTAAATCTTTTTACCAACTCCAAACTTTTGAATGTATATGTAAATATATAAAAAATTGTACATGTAAATATATATATATTAGCTAACATATAAACTATGTTTGATGAGTTCCTGCAGTCTTCTAAGCTTAGTATGAAATAACACCTGAACTGAACTGACATCAGAACTCATGTGTTTTATCTTCAAGATTACTTGAATCATAAACATACATTGGGGTTTGGATGAAGACCTAAAACTTGACCTGATATATAGTGTATTACTTCTACACCTGCTTAAATTAACAGCTAAACTGAAATTAAAATGGAACCGAATTGAGAAAAAATGAATAGCGACAACTCACCCGATTGACAAAGTCCTGGTATCCTGGGTAGTAGGTGGTGACAATGGAGAATATGTACCAGTCATATTCCTCCATTATGTTAAGCATGACAGAGGCCTGCTGCTCTATAGAGGGTCCAAACTGGAAGAACATGGAATGGTCATCCTGCAAGAAACAAAGATACATGCATGCATGAGAACAGAAGCATCAAGGCGAATCACATTATAATAGGATATCAGTCGGTTATAGTTATAGTTCATACTGGTTTTCAACAGTACATACAGTATGTCAAAGAGAGAGATGAGAATTTGCTTGCTCAATCATTTTTCTTGTATTCTTCTTGCCTCCAGCTCATTACAAAGAAAAAGTGACAAATCCAAAGTTAAGTATATATATTTTTTCTTTTCACCAAAGTTTGGATAAAGGGAACAAGGATCAGGAGAAAGAGGGTAGAGAAATATGAACCGCAGTTCACCAGATCTGACATCTGCTGCATCAAAGCCTGTGAACGAGACACATTTTGTTCCCTTAACATCTAAATGACCACTTCACTCCTGAAACAAATCCCAGGCAGTTCAAATGTCAAAATGAAATGACTTTGGTACATTGGTGATGAATGATTTCAGATGTTTATAATAAGCACGTTAATGAACTCTTCACATCCAGTATGCATACATTGATGCGAGTGTGTGTTTGTGTAAGCAGTCAGTAGCAAATAAGCAAAAGCATTTTAAAGCTATGCACACATGTATGACAGTGCACATGAATGCATGCACACTGATGTATAACTCTGTACATGCCTGTAAATGATTGTTCTGTGTGTGCACTCATGTGTGAAGTCGGTTGTGGGTGTTGCCATGTTAGTCATGCCGCATGGCGAAATCTCACAGTCTCTCTGTCTTTCTCTCTTTCAGGTCTCCACGCTCTACTCAACATCAAAGCCACTCCCCTGGGGTCCGAGATGGACTGATCCTTTACCTTGATTCGGCTTTAATGAGGTAACAACACTGATGGGGCTGCGGGGAGGGGGGCTTGGCTTGTTAATCTAACGGCTGTAGTATAATATTTTACGTATGTGTTTATATATTCATATTTTGTGGATTTTCACTAAATGTTTAATGTGTGCCTGATTTGCCAGTCTGTATGTGTGTGTCTTTGCCTCTTTAATTTTCTGACTTCTATTAATTTACGTGCCCCCAATATTAATTTCCTGTCTTAATTCCTCCTCTTCCCTTTTGGAGTTGATCCCATCAGGAGAGGTGGGACTCCAGTCATGGGGTCAGTAAGATTTCTTTTTCTTTTTCGGAATGAAATTAGCTCTTTTACTCAGCAAGCAAGAATTAAAGTGATCAAAAATGACAGTTAAGACATTAACTGTTTTGTTAATTATAAAAATTATATTTCAAATAAATGCTGTTCTTTCTATTCATTAAAGAAAGATGTAAAAATGTGTATCATGGTTTCCATAAAAAAATTCAGCAGCACAACTGTTTTTAGCATTGGGAAGAAAAAGAAATATTTTTTTATGAGCACTATAATTCAGTTTTGCCATCACAGAAATAAATGGCATTTAATATTAAATATATTAAAAAAAACATGAAACTAGAAAACTGTTCTTGTGAAGTATAATATAATATCTATCAGTGTTGTCAATTTAACATGTTAATTAATTAGTTATTGAAAAAGGCAGTATTAGTTTGTTATTGGGACTATATTTAATTAAAAAATAGTTTCTTATTTCCATATTAAAGGGGTCATTGGATGCCCATTTTCCACAAGTTGATATGATTCTTTAGGGTCTTAATGAAAAGTTTATAACATACTTTGGTTAAAATTTCTCAATGGTAGTGTAAAACAACGCCCTTTTTCCCTTGTCAAAATCAGCTCTGCAGACATCACCCCGTTCTGTTGCATGTTGCTTTAAATGCTAATGAGCTCTGCTCACCCCGCCCCTCTCTTCTGTGGAGTGACCAGCCGTGCTCTGAGAGACTGTTTACTTTAGCTGCGAAACTTGCTAACTAGCACGTTATTAGGAAAGGCGATTGCAAAGATTCATAAAAAACCCTTATACTCACTTCTGCTGTAAGTGAAGTTGGATCACAAATGATTTGTGCGAACATAGACGCATTTAGGTAGATCAGGGGACGCATTCCCTTCACAGACAAAAGTAATCCACTGCATCTTCAGTGGCTCAGATGTAAGGAGTAAATGACAATTTTTTGCTATGTTCATTATTACTGTAACGCCAAGCCAGCAGAGGGAGCCCTCGCCCGAGTACTGACCGTGCTCCACTCCCTCTGCTTTCACTTCCTGTTTGACTCTCATATAAACTGAGACCAGTCCATGTGCCGATTGCGAAGTATTGCCAGTTTACCTGCCTTTCCAAGCGTTATTCTTCCTCTGTTGCTGATTGGTTTCCTGTGTATGATTCTGCCTGTCTTCTTGACTCTTGCCCCTTTTGTTCTGACGCCTGATAGGACTGATGTTTGTGTTTGGACTCATTGCCTAATAAGTTTGTAGGTACAGACATCTGTTGTGGCCGTACTTGGCCGTTTTTATGAGGCTTTTTTAATAGTGTTCATATCGATATCGGAATTATATCGTATCGACCGAAATTAAGAAATATATCGTGATATAAATTTTGCCCATATCGTCCAGCCCTACTCCAGCGTCTCTGTTACAATTACATCCATCATCAACAAAACACCTCAATCGCTATGGAGCCATTCTTGTCTACATCTGCTCCGGAAGTGAAACAATGGCGGTCAGACTGTTGCACCTCACTCAGGGTGGGTCCTAAGGTAAGACGGCCATGTCAATCAACTATCGTGGGAGCGGCTTTCGTCTGTGTGACGTCACACAGACAAGAAGCTGAGAACGGCCTGATTTGAAAAAGGGTATATTATTTTTAGAGATTAAATAAAAACCACTGGGTGGATTTTTATCATTATAGGGTAGATGTGTACACACACTGCCAACACACATTTATGTTCAAACAACATTTATAAGTGAATTTAGCATCCGATGACCCCTTTAATAAAAAAAAACACTTTAATACCATTTAAAACTAATTGATCTAACACCATTATTTATACTATTGCAATTGCAGTGTAAATGCATTCATGCTGCAACAAACTGTCAGTAGATATATCTAAACACCCATTCAGATGCAGCTTCTGAAAAAAAAAATCATGGCCTAAAAGTTTGTGCAATAAATTTTATGTCGAATCAAATAAAACATTTCTTTCTAAAGCTACTTTCTGATGCTTTTCTCATTTAACACAATAACGACTTTCAGTTTTTTGTGGTCAATTTCTCAGCCAGATATGACGTGCAATTCATTTCCAATTGATTTGATTAATCAATTGTGTCATTAATTATATACAGTATGTGTGTGTGTGTGTGTGTGTGTGTCTACATATACATACAGACGCGTAAACATTACCATTAATTTCCTCTTTTAAAAAAATTTGCAACAATATACCAGCCTTATATGATCATTACATTTATTTTCTAGGAAGCACCTTGTAGTTTCATGACATTGAGCAACTCTTGTAATGTCAAAATAGACTGTACAAATACAATATAATAAAATATTAATAATACAGTTTATAATTCTACTTCATCCCAAACAGGAGAGAAATCTATCAAGGTTGACCACACATGCTTATTTTACTGACATTTTTTTTTTTCAGAATAAATGTTGAGTCAACCCATTACAGATTCCAAGTTGATATTCTCCTTACAACACCACAACAACAGCAGTTTACACTTCAGATGCACCACTGTGATGAACATGTGAAATGACACACATGGCCTCCCATTTCAACTTTACATTTAACACACACACACATAACATATAGGATACCATGTGTCAGATTTGTTTTCCGGATCATTGCTCTCTAATCCTTCGTTCTACACTTCTGCTCCTCACCCCCTCCCTGTCATTAATCTCCCTCGCTCCGCTCCTCCTCTTCATCCGTTCTGAGTCTATTCATCTCAAAATGAGCGATCACAGACACATGCACTCCACATGCAAAACTCCCATTCCTCTATCGCCAGTTTAGCACAATGGAGAGGCCAACCTAGTCATCCACTACCCAATACAGCCCTGCACGAGCAGCAGGGAGCTAATCCAGACCTTACATTACTATCCTCTCACTACTTTCCTCGCTTCCTCTTCAATAATAGAGACTAGTGTCCTGCAGAGGCAGTTTATAAGCAAAATATCTTTAATATTCGAATGAGAGGCAGAGGCATAAAATAAGTTTCCCACTAACTCTTGACTGCTGGGAGGGGATAACAGCTGAGCTCTTGGCATCAACGATACCGTGCCAGAACAGCATGTCATTAAGAGAGGAAGGGGACAGATTGAGATGCATTGAGGAGAGAATACATCTAAATTCAAATGATTCATCAGCTGATCTACCACGATGGATCAAGTATCCGATTGATTGGAAATAAGAAGCACTTAGCAGCCAGAAAGATGTCTCTGTGTTGTGCTTTCTTTTCTTTCTTTTACATTCAGTTATTTCTAATAATTAGCATTTAAACATTTTATTGTTCCATTTAATCATTTAGACTAATTGTAGACCCCTTTTATTGATTCATTCATTAATCAGTAATTTTATATTATATTATACTATTATATTTGTTTTCAAACTGTTAATTTCATGATTTTGTGGTTTCCAGGAATATTTGTCTTCACTAGTAAGACAGTAAGAGAATGTCTCCATTTCACGGTTTTTAAAACCACAGGATGATGTTCTGAAGCAGTAATTTTCCATTGCTATAGTTTGTGGTATATACTGATTGGATCTGGCGCTGGGGGTTGGATCCACTGTTCATGACATGGAGACTCAACCTTAGATTCTTCAGCAGGATGTCAGCATAAACTAATATCTTTGTGTAGTCAGCAGGATGTTGGCACGATCTAACGTGCCCTAAGAAAAAGCAGTTCTTAAAGGGATAGTTCACGCAAAAATTCAAATTCTGTCATTAATTACTCACCCTCATGTCGTTCCAAACCTGTAAGACCTTCGTTCGTTTTTGGAACACAAATTAAGATATTTTTTATGAAATTCGAGAGCACACCAAATGCCATCAGAAAATATCTGTTTGTCTAGTACCCAAAACCTGTTAAAAACAATTATTGTCTGGTACTC